ATATCAAACCATGTTTCTGTGCACCTATTTAAACATTTCAAACACCTCCTTAATCAACATCAAGGGAGTGTAGCAACAATCTAGGGTTGTTTTGAACGATCTGTTCCCAAAACAACAAAGTGCAAAATATCTGTGAGTTAAAATCACCAAGCTCTCCTAAAGAAGATTTCAGCAGGGCCCAAAACCCAGTCTCGAGCAGTTTCTCCAGCAAACAATCTTGAAAAACAGCCGAGCTCTGCTTTCAGTTGTCACTGCTTTGCTCTCATGACACCATAACCCTAGCTTATTAACCTCTCCCAACAACACAACAGTATCTCAATCTATTACCCCGTGTGTGGTAACAAAGCTCAATTTCGGCAAGTAGCAGTATCATTTTTTTCCTTAACAAGGTCTCATTATACATTTCAGATCTCATCGTATGTGTGTACCTTGCTGGGGTGGATTCCCACATGGACAGTTGTGCCATTAGCCTTCTCACGCTGAACGCGCTCAATGTAGATGACATATTTTTTTCTATACACCTGGACCACCTTGCCAATCTGCTGTCCCTTGTAATGTCCCCGGACAACCTAAACAAGAGCATAAAAGTTACAGTTTCCCACATGTCAACCATGTTCCTCAACTTGGTTACTTAAGAAACACAATTATTACAACAGAAAATCAGACCTACACAGGTCAAAAGCCCATCTCTGTTCTTTGTACATACATGTTACAAAAACATCAATTTCTGGACAGTTTCAGTAAACACTAATACAGAAAACAGAATGGAAAGGAATTACACTTTCCCCTTATTCTGCCTGCAACTAATAGCAAATCTTTTCAAATGAGAGGAAAATGATCAACCTCAGCAGTTTTGCATCCCCACAAATCATCTAACACCACATTTAGAATTGAAAATGCTTCTAAGATGGAGTTTATTCCTACACTGACCCTTCCACAGAACACAGGTAGCAAACACTCTAAGCCGATAAAAGTGAAAGTAACAATACTTCGGCTTGTGCTGTTCTTCTGAAAGCCTTTAATCCAGCCTGCTAACGAAAGAATGCAATTCAAGTATTTCAACTGCTGGCGCATTTCTGTCCCTAGTATTTTCATTCCCAACCCTGTGATTTCAAGAGGCCAACGTTATAACAGCAATAACTTGCACGGTTTGTGCAAGACCTCCAGCAGGGCTCTAGCATCGATCTGAATTGCTCTAGCCCTTCTCTTTTGCACTAGCTATACGCGAAACACAAACAAAATATAACTGAACGTTCAAGAGTAGCGGCGCGACAGGGAGCAGCGGCTACCTGGACTTCATCGTCCTTGCGGATGGGCATGGAGCGCACGTTGTACTTCTGCCGCAGCTCCTTGGAGAGCGGCGAGGACATGATCTTCCGTCGGATGTGCGAGGGCGCGTTGAAGTGGCGCTTGCGGTTCTTGCTGCGGTCCGACGTCACGAACGGGTTGAACTTCATGGTGGCTGCAAGAAGCAAGACGCGGCGGGACCCTCAGCAGCGCGCGGGGCCGCGCACGGCCTC